GCCCAGTTTAAGCTTAGAGTGTATGTGTTATTCTCTGATATTCTGGCATTGCTTCACATCATCTTGCTTGTTATTCCGTATGATGTATTCAAGATGAACTGGAGACACGATTTGACGAGCATTAAAATAATGAAGTCTGCTTCGCAGCCGTGTGTTGCATCAAGACGAGTTTTGAGCGGATTCAGAACAATAATCTGTTAAAACCAAGTTATATATACTCATATTTTATTGTCCAGAATCAAGACTGTCACCTTGTATTTGTGTTAGTCATTTTTATCAGTTGTGTTTAGTTTAGGAGAGGCTTTCTGAATCTGTGTTTTTTTTTTCTGTCTCAGATGTCGGATCGAGATAAATAATGCGGACTGCTCCTTGTTGTTGTTTTTTTTTTCATCTGATTAACTCCCCTGCACCGTTTCCTACTCATTATTTCCTCCCCCTTCGTTGCCTCCATGAGTGTCTTGAGTTTGCACGTTTCGCTCCCGTTTCCCTCCATCTCCATCCCCGTCCTTCCTTGCGCCGTTTCACCCTTTATCTCGCCTTTGTTTTCCGCTCCGTTGTGTAGCCTCTGTCTGCTTGACAGGCTGCTGTAGCACCGTTGACATTTCCTCGGCATGGCTGCCGAAACAACGGCTTCAGCACCTTTCCAGGCTCGGCCCTTTTCTCTTCCCCGTTGCTTCCCTCGTGCTCGGAGGCAGAGAAAAAGCAGAAATTAGCCCCAGACCTCGTGGAGGTGATTGGTATCAAATTGCACTGAAAATGGAAATGCCAATAAAACCGACGGCCTTCTGCCTCTTTCTTCCCTTCTAGGTAAAGTAAATGTACACTTCTAAGTCTGACCTATTGGATGCTTGTCCCCCTTCTAGGGAAAGTAGAAGTCCATAGGTCAGACTTAGAAGTGTAAAGGATAGGAATGTGTTAGCAATTCCCCGTCTGTTTTGGGTTGCAGGTGATAAAAAGCGGAGAAAAAGGAAGAAGAATGTTGATAGTGAATGATTTTTTTTTCCCGTTGTTGTATTTTCTAAACATTCGCCTTCTTTCCTTTCTTCTCGTCGTACCTCACCTTCTCCCCTTAGCTTTGGCGCTCGTTCGATCCCGCTCCGAGGCGGTTCTCCGGCCGTTTGCTTCTGTTTTCTCAACTCGCATGGGACGAGCCCCTGGGTTTGTTATTGTAGGCTTTGCTGAACATGAGCCGGTCTTTACGACGGATTGAAAGCATTTGCTTCCAATGAAAATCTGGTCTTAGATTACAGGGCCCCGACTCGGCTCACCCGTCTTTTTCCAGCAGGCAGCTGGGAAGGGAGGCGGCGGCGGGGGGTACGAGGGGCGGGCGTATTTCTTTTGCCCTGAAACAGTAGGAAGAAAAAGCTGAACTCACTCACAGGGCTCAGACGGTGCTTGTCCTAGGCTAATGATGTAATTGAAGCTTGCAATGTGAGTGTGTTTCCAGGACAGAGAAAGGCTGAGACGCTGCATAATGTGCTCAATGTGTGCCTGCTTGGTGAGCGCGGGGCTGAAAAGTCTTGTTAATCAATTAATGGATCAGCTGCTGAACAATTGCGATTGATTGTTCAATAAAAAAACAAAAAAAAAACAACAGTTTTCTTGTCATGAGGTTCTCCTGGTTTGTTGACCTCAAGTAAAAGTCCACAGTTTTGTGACATATTTGGTCGTAAAGTAAAATATGATGTAATTTCTTTAACAGATGGCAGCCCACAAAGCAATGGAGAAATGTTTGGGATTTCAACATTGTGGCTACACAGAGACATGATTTATGCATGAATCATTCTTCACTTTATGCATAGCCCTGATTTAGACCAATATACATTTTGTTTAGGTCCAAAACAGTGTTAAAATATCAGTCCATAAAACTGGCACATATGACACCCACAAGATGACAGCGGAAGGAAGTGCTCCCAATGAACCTGAGAAATTGCTTAAAAAAAAAAAAAAACACCCATGTAAAGAGAGAGATGAACTCACTGAGCTAATATATAAAGGGAGCCATATTTGAATTTGTATATGTATATAATATTACCTAAGAAGCAACCTGTTGAAGCGCTCAGTAAAAGGGCCCGCATAGTCGGTGTCGCACAATAAACTGCCCGGTGGAAACGGTGTTCACATCGAAATGGTTTTCATGTGACACACCGGGCTGATAAATTTGAGAATAGGGGTTACACGATCTAATATTGTTTTAAAGTTGACATCGACACGATAAAAGGCGATCTAGAGTTGTCAAATACTGATATACTGTATTATGCAGAATTATAAGAACAAATAAAAACATCATCTCAGACTGACGAAGAAGTAAATGAATAATCTTTTTGCCGCCGCCGTTGCATGAAATAAAGAGGAATTGCTTATTGTTTATTTTTATTTTGAGATTGTGGCTCATCGTCTATTAAGACGTTGTGATCCTAATCTGACCAGTCTAAGCTTGACAAGCAAACCTAAAACATTTCTGCATCTGGACTTCTACTAAACATCTAGAAACACAGAAAATATACAGACCAAATATATAAACTCTGTTGACGCCTGAGGTTGCATCAATATTACCTGTACAGAGTATCGGTGCTTTTTTTTTTTTCTTATATCTCCTTTTATTTTGATTCGTTACTTTGACTTAAGCACAATTACGCCCTTTAAACTGTGTACACGTTTTACACTAAACATGTGATTTCCCCAAATTATACACTTCTTTGCTCTGTTATTCGTAGAGTAACACAAGTATAACAAACTGTTATCAGCTGATGATATAGTCAGACTGTTTTCCTCTGTTAGCCAGTCTCTCACACACAGTGACTGATGAAACCACTGGAAATATTTCTCAACAGCGAAACAGAGAGAAATGTGGAGCACTGCAGGTGTTCAGTGACTTTAAACCAGAACTTGTTCAAACCTTAATGTACCTTACTAGAAAACGTTCCTCTGCCATTACATAGTTCTCACGTGACATAACACTTTTGGGAACTTTGCAGCAGCCATTTTGGTAGGCATTCCTAATCAACGGTCACAGCAGTTGCTATTTTGTTGCTATGACAACAATCCAATTAATGAACAATGCAAGTAGATGACAGCCATTGCCATACCTTTGTTGGTGTTGAAGCCACGGTTCGTCTGTTACTTTGTGCTGCACTTTCCTACCAAGATGGCGGTCCAGCGGTGCGGATCACTTCCGGTTCACACTGTGTGTTTTGACAGACATTAGAAACTCTCGAAAATAAAGAGTAAATTAATTTGAAGCAGTCCTAAAGCCACGTGGTGAATTTTGGTAAAGTGTAATGACCAGATGATTGACTCTCCATTGCTTTAGCCACTGGTTGTGCTACATTAGCCTGAGCCAAGCACGCGCTTGATCTTCATATGTGCATTATCAATGCGCAGTAGGTGGTGTTTGCATCAATGCCAAGCCAGCTCTTGTTTCTGCCCTGCCCCCCTCCCCTCATGCCGTCACCTCCACTTCCACATGAGGTTCATTAGAAAGCCTTCAATATGTGTGCATATGTATCTCCTTCTGCCAGCACAGTCGGAGAGGGAGAGGGAGAGCTGGCCGAGCGTGTTGTTTCGTTTGGTTTGTTGAGAGGCTCTCTCTCCTAATGGCGTGTATAATTCAGGTGCCCTCCAGGCATGCTTTCAGGAATTCTTTTGCCTGAGGTAATGGGGAGCAAAGGCCCGGGTTTTAGGCCCTTGATTATTCCATTGATGTGGCAGACTGGAAAAAAGTAATCTCCAACCGGATTAGCGCCAACATCGCCATTAATTATCAATGAACCTGGATCTTGGGGGTTTTTTTGTGTTTTTTTTGTAAAGGTGCCGGGTGTCCCCCTATGGAAGTCGGTGAACTCAACTCTTGCCACAGTGAAGAAACCGAGATGCTTTGGAAGTGCTTAGCGTGTAATCAATAAATAACAGAATCCAATTCTGTGACTGCTTCTGTGGTTCATACATATATATATATAATTTTTTTTTTCCTCCAAATTCTCTCTTCCAGGCGAGGGAGGCATTGTGGGACAAAAGTCGGGTTGTTTGGCGCCAGAATACCTCCGCATTTGAGGATGCCACTTGTTTACCTCGCCTCATGTTTCTTTAATGATTATTATCTTCATTCAGGGCGGCTCACGTTTTCTTTCTTTTTTTTTTTTCAAATAATGAAAACAACAATTAGGCTATTAAGAGCCACTTTCTCTCCAGCCGGAGCTGTATGGAATCCGTACAGTAATTGGGCGTCGTTGAATGCAAGCGTGTGCGTTCGTGTTGAAGAGTTAAAGGCCTGTGGAGCCTTTTTCTTTCAACGCTCAGATACTCTGAGCTGTCTCACTGTACCCCCTTAGGTGAGGTTAACTGGCCTTAATAGAGTCTTATCTAAGCCCTACAGGTTGCTGTAAGCAGCCATGATGCTATTGTTATGAAAAGCAGCTAGCTTTGTTAGCGCTGTTTGTGCTTCCCATCTATTTTCCTTTCATTTCCCCCCCTCCCACGTCCTCGCAACCTTGCCTTTTGTAGTGCCGTGTTACTCTTTCCACCCCAGGTAAAATGGCAGAATGCGCCAGGGCGACGCTTCAATAACTATTTCCCCCTCAGGATAATAAAGACTAAATCTCTCTGTCATTTTCAATTCTGCGCGGGCTTGGATGGGAGAGTGGGGAAATGCAACCTTACAACTCCTTTGTGCTCCGCTTTCTCTCCCCCCATGACCCCCCCGTCTCTCTTTTCCTCACGAAAGGATGCAAGCGCTTACTGTGTTTTCAGGGAGAAAAATGAAAAGGCTGGGGTTTATTTATAAATGTATTAAAAGTGAATGCATTTAGCCATTCTCTGCCAGCCATTGTCGACGGCTCCACACCCCGTCCGACACAAAGAACCTCCAGAGTTCCCTTTTTTCTCCGAAATCACATTTATTCCCTTTGAACCCGAAAGACGCGGCGGCTGCAGGAAGCAAACAAACTTCCCTGGCGTCTGATGGGAGCTGTCTCTTCCTGTTTCCCCCCGTCATGTCACAGGTGACGGCCTGGACAACAGCGTGGCTTCGCCGAGCACGGGCGACGACGACGACCCGGACAAGGAGAAGAAGCACAACAAGAAGAGAGGGATTTTTCCTAAGGTGGCCACCAACATCATGAGAGCGTGGCTCTTCCAACACCTAACGGTGAGTTCAGCCCAACAATACGTTGTCTGACGTCACGTGTGATCCTACAGCTTTCTTCCCCCGTGTCTCGCCAGCTCTGTGCTGCCAGTGTTTCGCGCACCTGAAACACACACACACACCATCCACCACTTGGCGCGCATTCCCAGTTTGCACGGCGAACACTTCAAAGACAGGAGACCTCTGTAATGTTGGAGAGAATCTCTGATCATCTGCTGAAGCTGAATGAGGCAGAAGCAGAAGCAGAGGCACCCCGGGCAAGTTTGTGCAGGCAGGCTGAAGAACCTCTTTACATAGAACCTCGTTACATTAGTTAGCAAAATGCAAGAGACGCCGCGAAAGGCCAGTGGCTTTGGCTTTTGCTTTCCCTCAATTAGCAGGAAATCCACTCATCGTTTGAGACTGACACAAATAGTTTGGTGGAAGCTAATGTTATTTTGCGGGTGATAGAATTAGGCCTAGGTTTACAGGGAGATTTATTAGATCAAAATAAGCTCCTCGCTGCTGTTCAGATGTAGCTTCTTTCCAGGAGTTGTGCTCACTCCAGCTGACCGAGATTTAAAAATTAATGTCTGGATATATTTTCATCAGATCTGATCATTATAGAAGCATTCGTCTCTTCAGGTATACTGTTAGGTTCTGTTCCTTTATTTAGAGGCGAACATAAAACCTGTCATAAAACCAGTACATTTTGCTGGACGGTAAATTATCCCAGATGTTATTGCGATAAAGAATAATATTATGATTTTGACACCGTTTTTAAGTAATACAAAGGTTACGCCATTATAAAGCAAGGACACATTCTCCGAGATCAATAAATTCTTATGAATGTTTAACACTAGAACTGAAATACGTTTTAAATATCGAAAAGCAGCTCTAAGTGTACCTTTCAGAATTCAGCAGATTTCTGATTTCAGGTTTTGGTCAAATTTGACCTCAATTATCAGTTTATTGTAATAAACTGATATTAATTTCAAAGAAAGAAAATGCTCATTAGAGTTCACATTGTAAACCATCCTTAGGATCCTACAGTAGCGATTAGCACAGCTAGCATTACGAGTTATTTCACGAAAAATTATCCAAAAATACATAATCCCTCACCACTTCAGAAAAAAACGTTCCTCAACATTGGTCAGCAACAAACTTCTGACCAATCACACAACACTTTGCACAAAGCTCGGTCGACATAGTTCGACCCGGGCCTGCTGTTGAGTTTGGCAGGTGGATGTCCCTCTTTGAGCGAAACGATTTCGGCACTTTGGATGAAGTATGCTGAGGGCCTTCACCTTAGCTCTGAGATTTCCAAAAGGCTGCCGATATTTCCATACCCAACATGTTCCATGAGAGACAAAAGTCAAAATCACCGTTCAGCCTTCCTGTTATCTGATGAATAGCTCGTTCTTTCTGGTTCTCTCGCAGTCTGGAGGATTATCAGAAATGACTGGTAATGCCATGCTAAACAGAGTGTACTTTTACCTCGCTAGATGTTGTTTCAGCCTCGTGTGCCCATATCTATTTTTGTAGGATTGTCGCTTATGGCATGAGTCATCTTCGCCAAACAGGAAGTACACCACAACAGTCTGCAAGCACAGTTTGTTTTAGATGGAGAGGTTTGTCCTCAGACAAATCATTTGCTGCAAGATGTCTTATAAACTTACGAAGCTACTGTAGATTATCTCTTACACCCTGCCCTGATGGAGTCACACATTGACTTACTTCCTGTATGCTCTTCTTCTGCTAACACTTGTTGAAATGTGGCTGATTTTCTCCCCGCTGGCTACTACTGTTGTAAATGAGAACTGCAATAAGATGTCAAAGCAACACCAATAATTTTTCGGGAGTTGATGAAATCCAGATTGTTTTTGCATCCATCTTTTCTGGATCTTATAAAAATATTTTTGAAAAAATAAATGGTATTTCCGATCAAATTAATTCTTTTAAAAATGGCCAAAAGCAATGAATCTGCTCCTGATGCTTCTTCAGCGAATGTCTCAGTGAAATATAACCTGGCATTTAACAAAACTTTCAGTTTACATTAAACCAAATTGCACTGGATTTCAAAGTTTAAAGGAGCAAATAGAGGAGCTGGAAAGTGTTTGGCCATTTAGAGGCTTTATCAACATTTCCTCTAAGAGCCGTTCCAAGGAAAGATGTCTTAGAAGTGCTTTCCTAACTCTGCGTCGCTTGCAATCTGCAGACCTCAGGAGTTTGTGGGGAACATGATACGGTTCGGCCGAGTGGCTCTCGGCTTTGGACTGCACAGACCAAACAGGAGGATGCGGAAGATCGTGGATATTGCAGTCTTTAATGTCTGCGTACAGCGGCATGTGACGCGTTGTCAAACGAAACATTTTTGGCAATTTTTTAATTTATTTATTTATTTTTTACTTTTGCAACCTCCTACTCTCCATTTTCTGATCTCTAATTGCACACCCCAAACCCTACAGGGCCAAAGGGAGAAGATGTTTGTAGCGCACACACACACACACACACACACACAGTTGGTAGGATATGAGCTTCAGCAGAAGAGGGGGATAAGGGAGGACCCATGAAACTCTCCTTCTCACGAGCAAAAGAGAGAGAGAGAGGAAACAAGCCGTGCACACGGACTGGCAAACATTGGATATAACGGGTGAGCTTCTTTACGGCACAAACTGGAAGAAATCAGAAGAGCTACATCCATCTCTTGTGGCAGCGGCATCATTTCGCTGAAACAAAAAACAAAAAAAATCCAACTTTTATGTTGAGTGTATTTAGTTAGTAGAGGGAAAAAAATCCCAGCTGTTCTTAACAAGGTCACGAAATGTAACTGAAGCCTTTCTTTATTTTATATAATACCTTTTTCTTTTTTCTTTTTTTTTAAAAGCTGATCAGAGCTTTATAGCGACTGTTTAAAAGCAAGCCAGGACTTTTTGTTCTCCTTTTATTATGGTTCTTTCAGCCACTGGGCTCCAGGCTAGACCCGTATTTATCTTACCAGCGAGCAGAGTGAGAATGATGACACATCTCTAACACTCAGTGGAGAAGTCGGAAGACGAGTCAAGCGAGTCCAGGCATCCTGGGGGTCACCCGGTCTCCATAGCAACCATTAACTAACTACATGTCAACCGGTTGTTTGATAGTGATGCCAGAAAAAGAAAAGAAAAAGAAAGCTTTTCCTGTGAATTGGTGGAGTTTGAGGAACTTTACAGGGAATTTAGCTGGAATTGTATAGCTTTGATCAGATGAGACAAAGATTGATGAGGTTAATGGATCTGATCTGACGGATATGTAGAACTGTACAACTGTTAGGTAAGGTGGAGGATGCATGATGCTGGTCTATTCCAGAGCTCCTAGGAGCCTCGTGAGAGTTAGCAAAACATGCAAGGTCGTTAACCTTGGGAGATGCTACAAAACAGCGCTAAGAGATTTCCTCCTGGAAAAGGTGATTTTACAAAGCAGATACCAATAGCTGTGTCATTTCGCCTTATAGTTAGATTTTTTTTTCCCACAGTAAATATTACCTATGTTTCCTAAGTGCTTCAGTAGCTGTGATTCCATTAACTGTAATATTGCTCTAATTGGAATGACAGAAATAAATTTACTTAACGGAAACGGCAATTTTGTGAAAAATAATCCTGATGTTTTTTCTGTGAGGACGAGATGGTTTTTAGGCCCTATCGAAATTTGCGTCTTTGCAAAACTGCAATGGAAACACGCGTTTCGCATCACCTGGGTACACAATCAACAACTGGATGTTACTACTGATGGAAATGACGAAGATGACAGGGAGTACATGACGAATCATGTCAAGGCATGTCTTAAATGACTAACAGAGTCAAGACGTGTGACTTTAATTGCGTTTCTTCTTCCTGCTGGAAACAACTCAATTGCAAAGTTGTTTTTCAACATTAGCAGAACATTAACAAAGTTTTGCGAACATTTGTAATGAATAGCAAATGCAATGTAACTAGCGGCAATGGCAGCTAGGGTAGGATCAAAATGAAATATTTATATCAAGGCTTTTTACACACATAGTCGGTCAGTATTGTAGATCCCATCTGATCGTACTAATCATTCTTTGAGACTACCCTCATTTGAAAAGACCAGTTGGCCTTTTCAATTATGGCATTTACCTGAAAATGCTGTGTAAAAGTACATTATCCCCATCGAAGGCTTATTGTTGAGTCTTAAATTGAGGCTTAAGTTTGACAGAGTAGTAGGAAAAACAGCAAGAACTACAGTCGAAGTTTAGATCCCAAACTTCAGTGTATTATATGTTAGTCGCCCTCACAACTGGACCCTCGGGGGAGTTCCCATTGTATCGAAGCGGAAAGGGAAGGTGGGTGGCAAAATGGGGCTATGAGTGCACCAGCAGGGTAAGGGGTAGGTGGCATTCACACAGCTGTTGTTTCACTGTTGCGTTAAAGTCGCTCATTTCATTCACCATAGGTGTTCATCAGCTACTTTTCCAGGGAAAGGTAAAGATTGTTTCCTGCCTCAACAGTGGGGGAAAAAAAATCATTTAATTCCCAAGATTGTTGTTGTCCTCATGAGCTGCTCGTCTGACTGGGAGAAAACACGCTTCCATCTGAGATTCGCTGCAGCAGTATTGAATTTGCGATGATGACAACGTTTGCAACTCTGAGTTCTCTCCAACACACCCAATGAGCTCATATGTTGTTGACAATGCTTGTGGGACGGGTTCAGCGCAAGAATTTGGCTGCTCTGGCTTGGAGCGACTACAAAACATTAGCGTTAACCGGCTGTCAACGATGGCCAAGGCATGCAGTCTGCTGCCAGCTTGACATGCAGCTGTAAACCGGGTAGGAGGGCGTAATAAAAGAGAGAAACGGGGAAAGGCCTTTTTCCACTTGTCTGCTCATCACATTGTGATATTTCTTATTCTTTTTATCATAATTGTGTTTTTTTTCTTTTGTGTTGATCATATTTATTGATAATATTTATGTAGTTAAGTCATTTTTACCCCTGTTTGGTTAATTTTTGTTTTTAGTAAGACAAAT